CCTCAGGTGTCGGGGTCCCCCTCGGGCTGGAAGGTGTCCTCACGTGTCCCCCTCAGGTGTCGGGGTCTCCCTCGGGCTGGAAGGTGTCCTCGCGCCACAGCGTCACCTGGCCCTGGGTGGCCACCAGCAGGCAGGGCAGGCTCGGGTGGAAGGCCAGCGACTGCACCACGCCCTGGCCCACGGGCAGGCTGAGCGCCAGCGAGCCCTGCGGGGACAGCGGCGCTCAGGGAGGGCCGGGGGTGTCCCCAAACCCCCCCGCAGGGACCCTCCCTCACCTCCAGCAGGTCCCAGAAGTAGACGTGGCCGTCCTCGGAGGCGCAGCCCACGTGCGTGTCCTGCTCGTTCAGGACGCAGTCCAGCCTGTAGGTCGTGCTGCGGTGACCGGTGTACCTGGGGAGGGGATGTGGGGTGAGCCGGGGGTCCCCCGAAGCCCCCCCGGGGGTCCCCCAAAGCCCCTCGGGGGGCGCAGGGACTCGGGTTAGGGGGGCCGTACTCGCCCAGCAGCTCCCCGGTGTCCTTGTCCAGCAGGCGCAGCGTGGAGTCCAGGCTGGCGGCCAGCACGCACTGCCCGTCCTTGCTGAAGCACACGCTGGTGATGGGGCCTGGGGGCACACGAGGAGTTTGGGGGGGTCCCACGGAGCTCCCCCAGCTTTGGGGACCCCCGCCCCGGGCTCTCCCACAGGCCCCACTCACTGCCGATGTAGTCGGAGCAGAGCTGCCCCGCGCGGAGGTCGTAGCGCCGGACCCGCCCGTCCACGGAGCTGCGGGGAGGGGGGAGGTTTAGGGGGTCCCCAATCCTGGGGGTGCCCCGGTGCCGGGGGGGGGGCTCGTCCCTCACCCCGTCAGGATCTCGTGGCCCGAGAGCTTCACGCTGGAGATTCCGTCCTTGGCCTCGTCCAGCACCTGGATGGGGTCGGGGCGGTGGGAGCGGCAGTCCCAGCACCGCACCGTGGAGTCGATGGAGCCTGGGGGGAAAAGGGGGTTCAGGGGGAACGAAAGGGGGAGCAGGGTGGGAAAAAGGGGGTGCGGGGATGTCCCGGGGCTCGCAGGGTGCCCCCCAAACCACTCCCTCACCAGACACGATGACAGTGGCTTCCTCATTGAACTGGACGCAGTTCACTTTCTGTGGGAGAAGCAGGGACTCAGAGTCCCGAGCCGTGCTCAGGATCCCAAATCCCCCTCCCCAAATAATCCCCCTCCCCAAATCCCACCCCCAGACCCTCCTCACCCCGGCGTGTCCCCGGTACTTTCGGACCACCTGCCCCGTGGTCACGTCCCAGAGCGCCACGGCCTTGTCGGCGCTGCCGGAGCAGATCTGGCTGTTGTCGAAGGATCTGGGGGGGCGTGGGGGGGGTCCCGTGAGCGCGGCGAGGCTTCCCCGAGGTGGGGAGGGGTCCCCGCAGCCCCTCCTTACCCGGCGGCGTCCAGCACCTCGTAGCCGTGGCCCTGGTAGGCGCGCAGGGCTGTGCCCTTGTGCGGGTTCCAGAGCTTCAGAGTCTTGTCACTGCCGCACGTCAGGCAGTAATTCCCGTCCGCTGCGGGGGGTGAATGGATGTGATCACCGGGACCCCCGCCCAGGACACGGGGTGATCCCCGGGACCCCCGCACCAGGACAGGGGGTGATCCCCGGGACCCCCGCACCGGGACACGGGGTGATCCCCGGGACCCCCGC